AGTAAATTACCAAAATAAAACAAAAACAGGTGGCGGTCAGTAGGGCCTACTCACTGTCATGAATACATTTCCTCCTTTTTTTTTTTTAAGGTTTTTCAAGACAGGGTTTCTCTGTGTAGCCCTGACTGTCCTGGAACTCACTCTGTAGACCAGGCTGGCCTCGAACTCAGAAATCTGCCTCCCAAGTGCTGTGATCAAAGGCGTGTGCCACCACTGCCCGGCACATTTACTCTTAAAATCTATGCATAGGGCATACTAAAATGGCTCTGTGGTTAAAGATGCTTACCTGTAAGCCTGATGATCTGAGATTCTAGCCCTGAAAGCCACATGATAGAAGGAGAGAACCCATTCTCACGGATTGTCCCCCGATCTCCACAAGCACACCCTGGCATGTGTGTGCATGCATTTGCACATGCATCAACACACACACACAAATAAATGTTTAAACATTTTAAAATTAGGAAAAAAAATAGCCCATCTTGGTGCTGCACACCTTTAACCCCTCACTTGAGAAGCAGAGTCAAGAGGATCTATGACTCTGAAGCCAGCCTGGTCTACAAAGTGAGTTCCCACACAGCCAGGTCTACACAGAGTAATCCTGTCTTGAAAACACAAGTAAACAAACAAACAAACGAACAAGAAATGAATCTTTCCCACGTGGAATGGGAGATCTGCTGCAAGAAAATCGGAACTTGGAATTGTCTTATGATCGACACATTGCTTATTTGTTGGTCCTTCTTCTCGTAGACATCTCACCTTAGCTGAGCCCAGCTAAGTACCCATTCAGATCCTAGGAACACACTTAGGAAATACACAAGTAGCTTGGGGAATATTCCTCCAACAAACCTGAGGTCAGAAGTCAAGAGACATGGTAAAGCTGGTACTTTCTTTTTCCTGGGTTGGATGACAGAAGACATGGAGTGACCTCTGGCTTAGCAGATCTGGGGCAGATGGAAGAGTCAGAGGGTGGCAGAGTGCTGCCGTGAAGGCTCAGTCCTCCGAGCTCTCCTCCCAGCCCCATAGTTTATCAGCTCGTGCAGACCCCAATATCTGGAGGAACGGCCTCTACTGGAGCTTCTGCCTGACTGCTACCTAAGAAACTGATGTCACTGCAAACATTTTTTACTTCCACTCTCCCCTGGAGCCCTGCTGTTCTCTATCAACTAACAGATCCTGGATGATTGACAGAACAGTCTGCTCTGAATAGTGTTAGTTGTCTACTGAAATGTTGAGTGACTTCCTGGGCAGCCGTTGTCAAGTCCACAACTCCATCTTGAGGGAAGGCTCTACTCTCCTAAGCCGTAAATCCCATGCTGCTGACTTCTGATCAGGTTATGAAAAAAGCAGGGGGCTGGAGAGATGGCTCTGAGGTTAAGAGCACTGGCTGTTCTTCCTGAGTTCAATTCTCAGCAGCCACGTGGTGGCTCACAACCACCCAGAATGGAATCTGATTCACTCTTCTGGTGAGCATGAGAACAGAGCAACCCTATCCATGGAATAAATAAATCTATAAAAGAAGGAGAACAACAGAGGCGGGGACTCCCTCATGGCGAGCCTTTGGGGGTTACTTTCACTTTGGGCTTAAAATACACCCCAGGGACCCCTCTGCGTTTCTAAGAGCTGCAAGTCTGAAGAGCTTCAAACTTGGAACAGACTGAAGCAGGTTGAAGTGGTAACAGACCAGGCTACGTTACATAGCTAAAGCCAGCCTCAGAGAGGTGATGCATCGGGCCTAAGGAGATGGTTCAGCAGATAAAGTGAGGGGACCAGAGGGAGATGGGATCCTCAGAACTCACGTAAAACCGAGGCAGGTGTGGCAGCCCCGTTTAGGCTTAGCAGATTATAAAGACAGGGATCTCTAGGGCAAGGAGTTGAGCCAAAATCAGCGAGCTCTTGGTTCAGCAAAAGCCCTCAGTAAGTCTAAAGGAGATCAGTGTGACCTTGGGCCTCCGTCTGTGTACACATACACACAAAACTTTAAAATGCACGGGGAAGAGGAGTTGGTACCTGGGACAAGAAGGTGGTCTACCTAAGTAGCTTGCTGGAAGGGTTTGGCTGTTCCTTCCATTGCATTCCTTGCTGAGGCAAGCCCCTGTAGCTTCTAAGCCTTGTACTGAGGTTGTCCACTGAGGCTGTGCATTCCTGACCCGTGGCCTCAGTTTATGCTGTGGTCATCAAGATGCTGGGGACAGCTGGAGAGAGACGTGGGTGAGAACAGAGTGGGAGGTAGTCTCCTAAAAGAACAGGCCAGCCTCTAGGATAACTCTTGCTCAGCAACATTCACTTCCTGTCCAGCTCCTCGCAGTTCATTTTCTGGACAGTGGTGCCCCCTAGAGGTATATAATAATAACTCACAGGTCTTTTACATTGATACCTAGATTTGCAAATTAAACTCACGTTATGTGTTCTTTGACTGAACAGTAGGCAGGCAACTGAGACATCTTACTTTATTGGGGGGGGGGGTCCCGCACTCCAGGCTGGCTTTTAACTCACTATGTAACAAAGAATGACCTTTGGCCTCTGATCCTTCTACTTCCTGAGTGCAAGCGCCTGGGTTACAGGTCTATACCACTGCACCCAGTTTACACAGAGCTGGGGATCAAACATGGGGCTTCAAGCATGCTAGACAACTGAGCTATACACCCCAGCCTAAGACTTTGCACTATACAATGACGAAATGATACAAATTATATTTATTTGTAACTAAAAACTGAGGCATGAACTGGAGGGGATGATCATGGGTTTGAAACTAGCCTGGTTTATGTAATGAGATGATGTCAAATATAAGCAAATGACAGGGGAAGTTGATGGCAGGGCTAGCTTAGATGTGTGATTATGTAGCAGACAGTTTTAGAATCATAGTTTATGCATTTTAATCAGTTGAGATGATTTTGTACCATTCTCTCTCTCTTTTTTTCTCTCTCTCTTTTTTTTTTTTCTGGTTTTTCGAGACAGGGTTTCTCTGTGTAGCCCTGGCTGTCCTGGAACTCACTCGGTAGACCAGGCTGGCCTCGAACTCAGAAATCTGCCTGCCTCTGCCTCCCAAGTGCTGGGATTAAAGGTGTGCGCCACCCCCACCCCGCCTCTTTTTTTTTTTTTTTCAATTATATTTCTTTGTGTGTATGTGTGTGCGCATACTTGACCCATGCTGTTCTTGTGGAAGTCAGAGGATCTGAGGATCTACCATGTGGGATCTAGGTGTAGAACTCAGGTTATCAGGCATACACCTTGACCCATTGAATATTCTCTGTAATTCAATTACGTTTATAGTGCCAAAAATCACCCTTTGACAGGCTGTCCCCACAAACCCACATACATCATTTGGCACTCACTGGGTTCCTAGAAAGCTGATGTCAGAGTTAGTTATCTCGTGCTCTTTGTTGTGCTGCACGTTCATGGATGCAGCACCGTTGGTGATGGTCAGGAAATAGTGAAAACAGCCAGGCATGGTGGCTGGGCTTTCCTCCTCTCGTCTCTGCTCTGCCCACTTCTGCTGCTGTAAGACTTGTGAGCCCAGGAAGCCTCAGGAACTGAGCAGACCAGAGTTTGTGGTATGAACATCGGATGAAAAGAGGGGCTGTAGGAAGTAACTGAGAAGTCAAAGTCCTCCTCATCTGTAAAGTCAGAACTCGGCCACATAAACCGGAGAGCTCCTGTCTCCAGGAAGGCCGTCCTTCCCCATCCACAGAGACCACCTAGCCCATCAGAACTGCACAGCCCACGAGTGCCCCACTATACCTGTGAAGGGGGACAGTATGGGAGCTAAAGAGGGGATTCCAGGCCCTCCCTCATCCTCTCCTCATTTCCTTCTCTCTAGACCAGTTGTGAGGGCTGGAGAGGGTGTGGCACAGAAAGGAGCCAGCAATGTCCCACCAGTGAGTGGCAGCTGGTTGTACTCACCATCTTCCTGGCTTCTGCGCCAAGTCCATCCTCTCTCTCTCTCTCTCTCTCTCTCTCTCTCTCTCTCTCTCTCTCTCTCTCTCTCTCTCTCTTGCAGTCCAACAAAGTTCCTGTTGTTCAGCATCCTCATCACATGCACCCGCTGACACCTCTCATCACCTACAGCAACGACCACTTCTCCCCAGCGTCCCCTCCCACGCATCTGTCCCCAGAGATCGACCCAAAGACAGGTGAGTGGCTCCTGCTATAGGCTGTGCTCCCAAAGGGTGGGAGATTTTTCTATAGGGTAAGGGTACAGAACTTGAATGAATAAGGTCTGGGTTCAAATCTTACCACAACTCTTAAAAGGTTGATTGCCTTGCCAGTTTGCTCTCTAGTTTTGTTTGTCTTGTTGTTATTGTTTGGTCTGCTATTGTTTATTTGTTTAATTCATTAGTTGGTTGGTTGGTTAGTTGGTTGGTTAGTTGGTTGGTAGGTTGGTTGGTTGGTAGGTTGGTTGGTTGGTAGGTTGGTTTTTAACCGGTGCCTACTGTCTCTCCACACTAAAAGGCCACAGCAAGGATCAAACGTAACGAAACAAGTTAAGTACAGAGCCTGGAACCTCTGTAAATTCAGAGTGTTGTCTGGTTATCAGAGGCTGGGTCTCTATAACCAGAATGTGTGCCCACTACACTGCACGTTTCAAATAGAGCCTTCTGGACAGACTTTAAAATGACTTTAAGGCCGGGCAGTGGTGGCGCACGCCTTTAATCCCAGCACTTGGGAGGCAGAGGCAGGCGGATTTCTGAGTTCGAGGCCAGCCTGGTCTACAGAGTGAGTTCCAGGACAGCCGGGGCTACACAGAGAAACCCCGGCTCGAAAAACAGAAAAAACAAAAACAAAAACAAAAAAAAAGACTTTAAAACAGTGGGGGCGGAGCTGGCTTTAGGCGTGGTTGGTGATAATTAACTGCCCACCACACCTGTCCATACCTGGGAGCCAAGGTCTTCATAACATTCCTACCAAGTCACTGTGACACCAAGAATTTTCAGAGCCCTTGTTTAGAGAAATAATGATGATTTCGGGGTGGGGGGAATGAACATAGAGGGGGAAACCCACAGTTTAGAGGCAGGGTGCTTTATTGACAGAGTACGTTTATTGTATTGGGAATGAAGCTGTTTTTCTAGAAAGTTAAATAAATGAGGGCTTAGGATAATTTTTGCTCTCTGTTGAGTATTTCCTGGACCTTGTATGAATCCTTGTCCAGTCAACAAAAGAAAGTTACATCCACAGAGATGGCTTCTGGGTAGCTAGAGAGATGGTATCTGGGTCCTCGCTTCCTTGGATGCCCTTGAGGTGACCGCCTAGTCCTGCTAGAAGATGAAACGGGTAGAGATGAGGAAAGACAAGGGCTTCCCAGGGTGTGGTCCTCCTGGGCATGCAGGGCAGGCAGCTCCTGTTGGGTGTTACGAAGGTTATGAAGGTTGGGTGAGGGAAGTGTTTGACATATCTCTCTTTGGAAGCAGGAATCCCCCGGCCCCCTCACCCATCAGAGCTGTCGCCGTATTACCCACTGTCTCCAGGAGCTGTCGGGCAGATCCCCCACCCTCTCGGCTGGCTCGTCCCACAGTAAGGAAACCCAAAGGCATTCTTATCCTCAGTCCTTCCTCCACTGAGCTCTGCCTTTTCTGGACTCCAGGATTTAGACGTCCTTACTCCCACCTTCACCTTTCTCCCAACTCCTCTGTCTTCCTGATTCTTATCATCAAGAAATCATCCCTGATTTCTTATCATTTCTCTCTGGCCCCCTCAGTCTTGGCTGATCAGATCATCCTCCTCCCTCCTCTCCCTCACAGGCAAGGACAGCCCATGTACTCACTCCCTCCTGGTGGTTTCCGGCATCCTTACCCTGCCCTCGCCATGAATGCTTCAATGTCTAGGTGAGTCGTAGGGCTGGGGCTGCCAACATGATGTCACAGTCCAGGGATATTAGTGACTGCCACTTCTGGCCATAAACCAGTCTGTCACCTATAGGTTAGTGAACAGACATGGGGTTCCTTGATTCTTACTTCACTTTGATGAGGGGTTACCTCTTACCCCATATTCCTTATACCACAACCCCATGGACCCACCACACACACTCACACATAGCTAAAACCTCAGAACCAAGGCCTGTTACCTTCCTTCCACATCCCTACACAGCAGGCTCTGTGGAACAGAGTCATTTTAATCATGACACACTGAAGCCAGAGACGAGGAGGAAATGTGTATCTTCCATAGTAATGCCAGGAAAGGAAACAGTGTACGGGGATTCCTCACAGGGGTGGCTCTACCTGACAATGGAACCACCAATGACAGACAACCTGTAATCCTGTAGCGCATGCATGCCTTCTGACTTCATGCCTTCTGGGTTTTTTATTCCCCCTGCATCCAGCACCAGGCTTGGGTACCTTGTGTGTGTTAGGGGAAGGGATAGCGTCATTGGGCATCCCACAAAACTGACTGCCTAATTCTGCCGGTGACAACCATCTCCGGTGGCTCACAGCCCTCGCCTCTCTCTTCTCATTTGTTTCTACTTGTCATGCAGCCTGGTCTCAAGTCGGTTCTCCCCACACATGGTGGCTCCTGCCCATCCTGGTCTGCCCACCTCAGGAATCCCCCACCCTGCCATCGTCTCCCCCATTGTGAAGCAGGAACCAGCGCCCCCCAGCCTGAGCCCTGCCGTGAGTGCGTAAGTAAGATCTGTCTGGGTGGAAGGGTGTCGGCAGCTGGCCACTCTGCACGGCATGTGCCATTTGGTTTTCTCTCCTGCTGTCAGCTTGCAGGACAGGCCCTGGCTTCTCCTGTGGAGGCTGTTCTCTTGGATCTTCTATGGCCCTTCCTTTAAGACCTAGTGCATCTGTCCTCATAGTCAGGTTCTTGTGGCTGTGAAGAGCTAAGAAAGCTTTTGGCTTTTCTCTCTACCCTGTCATCCCAATAAAATGTAAGGCCAGGATGGGAGAAAGTAATTCTCTCAAGGACTCGTGACAGCTGGTGCCAGAGTAGAGACCCTGGCATTCTCCTCTCTGCTGGAAAGATAGCAGAAGAGCCCACACCACCAGCACCACTCTTATAGGAAGTAAAGGATGCAAGAGACAGCCTAGCTTGAAGGCCATCAGGATCAAGAAGCTTGGTTGCCCTACCAGAGGGACTTTATGAGGAATCAGGGCAGAGCTGCTTTTGCTTCTCTCCCAGGCCTTTTATCTCAGCCCAGAGGGCCATGCTCTGCCTTCCTTCTCTTCTCTCTTCTCTCTTCCCCTTCCTCCCTCTATCCCCTCCTGTCCTCCTCCCCGCCTCTCTCTGCCCAGATCCTGAAAGCAGTCACACATGGCTCCCCAAACAAGCCTCTCCTCCCAGAGGCATTGGTCAGCTGCCTCAGTGGAGGCAGGCATGAGGGAAGCTGGATGATGGTGAGACCTAACCTATAGCCACGTGCCTCCCCAGGAAATCCCCAGTTACGGTGAAAAAGGAAGAGGAGAAGAAGCCTCACGTGAAAAAGCCTCTGAATGCCTTCATGTTGTATATGAAGGAGATGAGGGCCAAGGTGGTGGCCGAGTGTACCCTGAAGGAAAGTGCAGCCATTAACCAAATCCTGGGAAGAAAGGTAATGCCTGCTCCTGTCAACTCTTCCTGGCAGCAGGCTTCAGTGCCTCCCCCGACCCTGATCGCTCTGTGTCTTCACCCTCTCTCCCTTAGTGGCACAACCTGTCAAGAGAAGAACAGGCCAAGTACTATGAGCTCGCCCGGAAAGAACGGCAGCTTCACGCGCAGCTCTACCCGACCTGGTCAGCCCGGGACAACTATGTAAGTGTTCACACGGCGCGTGCGGGAATGCAGACCTTGGGAGCGGCATCTTCAGGATGCAGAGGAGGGAGAGCAGGCTACTTGGGCTTGATTCTAGAGGAGGAGACTTGTTTCCTATAAATAAGGAAGCCAAGTTTGAATTTGGGGGGGGCTGTGTCTAGAAACTCCGCAAGACTTATTGGATTTTTGTATATATGCTTTTATTCTCTCTTTTCCTTTTCTTTCTTTCTTTCTTTCTTTCTTTCTTTCTTTCTTTCTTTCTTTTTTTTAAACTTGGTGAGAGGGTTTGTAGTAGCTGCATCAAGTTTTCAGAGGGATCTGGGGCTGCTCAGAGAAGATCAACAACCAGGCCAGGGCGATAGCTCAGTAGGTGAAATGCCTGCTTGGCAAGAGGTCAAGTGTTAATCTTCAACACCTACATGAAGAACTGGGGCATGGTGGTGTGTACCTAGACTCTCAGCCCTGGACAGAACAATCCTTTGGGTTCACTAGCCAGCCAGCCAGCCTAGCCTGTTTGGTAAGTTCCAGGCCCATGAAGAGACCGTGTCTCCAAAAAAGGTAGACAGTGACTGAGGAATGCCATCCAGGGTTGTCCTCTGGTCCCCATGTACATTGTATGTACTTACATACATATATAATGTGCACATTCATGCACACACACATTGTGAGTAGGAGGGAGTAACCACTCTTCTAGGGAGTAAAGGATGCAAGAGACAGACTAGCTTGAAGGCCATCAGGATCAAGAAGCTTGGTTGCCCTACCAGAGGGACTTTATGAGGAATCAGGGCAGAGCTGCTTTTGCTTCTCTCCCAGGCCAGTTCTCCAGCACCTTGGACCCAGGAACAATCAGGAGAGGGACTGCCATCTGTGTTCTGAGGTAGTCTGGAGTCCTCTTGACAAGCCAGTATTATTCTGTCCCTATTCATCAGTCCCATGGCCATGTTTTTCAGGGGAAGAAGAAGAAGAGGAAGAGAGAAAAGCAGCTGTCACAGACACAGTCTCAGCAGCAAATCCAAGAGGCAGAGGGTGAGTCCTGGGAGCCCCTTGCTTCCTCTCCCACTGTCCCAGACACTCTTGCTTAAGTTACCTGAGTCTCTGAAGACTCGGTGTTCTTGAGCAACCGTAGCAGATGGCAGCACTTTCTTTCAGAGAAGGCCAAGTAAGAGGCGGAGAACACTGCCAATCAACCTTGAGTTTGCCCCCAGCGCCCTCATATAAAGCTTTGAAGAGTTTAGAGGATTTCCCAGTTCCTCTCTTTAAGACAGCAAGTATTTTAAAGGGAATGGGGGGACAGTCTTCAAAGCTCAGACACGTCTCAGTGCAGCTGAACTGTCCCTTTAGGGTTATGTCCTACAGTCGATGCATAAGGTAAAAACAGGAGCTAGCTGGAATCATCTCTGAAGTTCCCTTCCAGAGGTGGCATGCTAGAGATAGACATATCACCAGGATTAGTTACTTTCTTGTTTGTTGCCTTGACAAAATACCTGACAAAAGGTGACTTAAGAAAGCATTTGTTTTGTCTCAAAGCTTGGAGCACATCATCCATTATGGTAGGAAGGCATGACAGGTGACCACAGCGTGTTCTTGGCCAGCAGACAGAGAGATGAATGTTTCCTTACTCGCTTTTCCCCTTTCCATTTAGTCTAGGGCCTCGGTCTATATTCAGGCTGGCTCCTTCCTGCTCTGTTAAAACTTTATGAAACCATTTTATGGACACACTCAGAGGTGTGTTTCCATGGTGATGATGACATAGATTGACCATCGCACCACTTACCAGTGAGTTTGGTGGAGTAAGGTTTTCTTTGGTTGGATACCAGAAGAACATTGTCCATAAACAGTAGAGATTCAGCTCAGCTATTAAGGGGTTAAGGAGGAGATGATGCGGTGATGGGCTCTGAACTTTGCTCTCGAGTCAGATTCTGAGTGAGTCTTTGTCACTTTGGGCATTTGGTCTTTGAATTGTGCCTTCTCTGAGCACTGCGTGTTCTTAAGTATAGTTTCCTAATCTCTGGACCTTTGAAAAGCCTGGAGATACAGCTCAGTTGGAGGGATGCTTACCTAAGCATGCATGAAGCCCTGAGCCTGATACCCAGCACCACATAAAACGGGTGGTACTATGTGAGGCCTGACTGGGATACACAAGAGCCTGTTTCAAACATAAAATAAATCAAGGACTGGCAATAATGCAGTGGGTAAAGTCTGTGCAAGCATAAGGACTTTCATTCAGATGGCCAGCACCCATGTAAAAGCCACATGGCAACCCGTCTGTCATTAATCTACTAAAAACAACAGGCTTTATATCCAGTGAGAGAATCTGTCTCAAAACATAATGGGGAGAGTCTGGAAAATTGGCTCAGCAGTTAAAAGTACTTTCACACACCCATCTGTAACTGCAGTTACAGGGATCTAATGCCCTCTTCTTACCACCCCAGGTACCAGGCATGCACCTAGTACACAGACATACATACATATAGGCAAAATACCCATACACATAAAAGCATTTTTTTTTAAGTAAGGGGTAAAGCAATAGAAGACACCCAGACTTAACCTCTGCCCTACACACGCAGACACACCACCACCAACACCATTTAAATTTTTTCCAAGTATTTTTTTTTAAATTACCTTTCCAATGTGCAGTCACACCTGAATATCCTTTGGATTGGTTTCAAGGCCCCACCATCTTCCACTTCTCAAATAGCTGAACCCCAGGTGCTTAAGCCCCTTGAGTGGGTGGCCTTATATTTGCATAAATCTTATGCAAATCTTCCATCGATCCTATACCAACTCTAGATGCCGGATAATCCCCCTCACAGTGAATGCTGTAGAAATAGCCATTAGGTTCTGTTTGCTTATCGAAAAATAGCAAAGAAAATAAATGCATGTGTTTAGTACCAACGAGGTGTTTTCCCTGGCTATTTCTCATGGGCTCTGGATTGAATCCACGGACCGAGCCACAAATCCACGAGGCTATGTTCCTGTGTCTAAGCTGCTGCTGTTCCTGCTATCAGCCAATCCTATTTCCTTGTGTTTGTACCCTTAGGTGCTCTGGCCTCTAAGAGCAAGAAGCCATGCATTCAGTACCTGCCCCCTGAGAAGCCTTGTGATAGCCCTGCGTCTTCCCATGGCAGCACGCTGGACTCCCCTGCAACTCCCTCCGCGGCCTTGGCATCACCAGCTGCCCCTGCGGCTACCCACTCCGAGCAAGCCCAGCCCCTGTCGCTCACCACCAAACCGGAGACCCGGGCCCAGCTGGCTCTCCACTCAGCTGCCTTCCTGTCAGCTAAGGCTGCAGCCAGCAACTCCAGCCAGATGGCCAGCCAGCCCCCACTCCTGTCCAGGCCCTTGCCCTTGGGCTCTATGCCCGCCGCTCTGCTGACCTCTCCCCCTTCTTTCCCAGCCACGCTCCATGCCCACCAGGCCCTCCCTGTGCTTCAGGCCCAGCCTCTTTCCTTGGTCACCAAGTCTGCCCACTAAGCTGCCCCGGTCCTATGCAGGCTGTCTTCGGACTCCAAGTAGTAATGATTCAGAAGAGAGGAAGGGGGAAGCACACAAAGGAAACATTATTGGTCAATATTTGACCACTCTGAACTGTTCTGTAAAGTGACTGGTAACAGCAGTGCTTTACCAGTGTAGACGTAACCAGTAGCTGATCTTCAGGCATTTTTTTTTTTAAAAAGGAGAAAACAAAAATAAAAAACAAAACAAAACCTGCCCCTCCCCCAAAAAAATCTTCACAAGAAAGCACTGAAAAGCAGTGTGTTGTTCTCTCCCCTTGCGCTGTGGTGGGTATACCTGGGCAGGAGAGGCCTCTCTACCTCTTCTCTTCCTGACTCTCTGCCCTCCTTTTCGTTGCTGGCAGCCCCCACCTGCCCTAGCTTCCCGACCGTATCTGTAACATGACCTGACCTGGAGTTCTAGACCGGCACCCTTTCCTCCAGGTCAGTCCTGTTCCTCTCCCAAGTTTTTGTCATGTGTTCAATGCCAGCCCATGCCCCTTTGTCCTCTGCCCAGTGTAAGGCTGTGGCCATGTGTGATCATGGTTTCCCACCAGCATCCCCCTCTCCCTCTTCAGGCCTCAACGGCCTGGCCTCCAGTTTGGGGTGGGGAAAGAGGTCCTTCTGAAATGCCCCCCCACCCCTGCATTTAAAGGGACTCAAGGTGCCTACCACTGCCTTCAAGAAGTCTGTGTTCCTCTCCACTGCCCAGTCAAGTTTTCTTTCCCACCTTGCAGTCTCAGAGTGGCAGGCAGGCCCCAGTCCCCACTGTCTGGCTCCTGTCACCTCTGTCTGTGCTAGTACAATCTGCAGAAGCTCTAAGACCCTCTGCCCCTTCCCCCACTACCACCTCACAAGCTTTTTCTGTGTGTATTTCATTTTGTTTTTATGGTTTTTGGAACAATTTAAACTCCCAGTTTATTTTCACAAGAGAAAATAAAATTACAGTTGCAAAACCGTTTCTGAATGTTTCTTTAGACCTTCTGTTGAATCAAGCCACCGCCTTCCTGCCAAGCCCTGGGTTAAATTTTTGCAGGCTATTTATCATAGAGTCATATAAAGCTTACCAACTGCGCGTAGAGAAACCCAAGCCACTTCTAGTCCCACCCCCACCACCACCCTGGTTGTTTTATTTTACTTTATGTGCAGGAGCATCTTGCTCACATGTATGTATGTATGTATGTATGTATGTATGTATGTATGTATGTATGTGTACCATGTGTGTGTCTGGCACCAAGGTCAGAAGGCTTTGAATTACCCTGGAACTGCTGTTACAGAAGACTATAAACCACTCTGTGAGTGTTGGGAACCAAACTTAGGTCCTTTGCAGAAACAAACGCTCTTACCCACGGAGTCATCTCTAACCCCCAACTTCCAATCTCAAAGATACTTATCCCAGTTGATGTTGATGTCTGAAGCCCCAAAGTGTGGATCGATTTTTTTTTAAAGATTTATTTATTTTATTATGAGTACACTGTAGCTATCTTCAGACACACCAGAAGAGGACATCGAATCTCATTATGGATGGTTGTGAGCCACCATGTGGTTGCTGGGATTTGAACTCAGGACCTCTGGAAGAGCAGTCAGTGCTCTTAACCGCTGAGCCATCTCTCCAGCCCTTAAAGAGACTTCTAATGTGGAAGTATTCTGTTTATGATTCTGGCACCCTTTACTAGGACTGCAGAGGAGCATGGTTTCTGGCCTTGTGGCTGGTGTTATTCATAACAGCTTTCTTGAGATATAATTTAGTAATTTAGACTTACATTTTGCCCATTCCAAATACTGGGCAGGGCTGGGGGCATATCTCAATGATCTGGCTGTAAGAGTCCTCGAGTTTCATCCCAACACTGCCAATTTAAAATGGTACGTTATTGCTGTTGTGTATACAGTAGGGAAACAAACTATTATGGTGGTCAGAGGACTTGTTGGAGCCAGTTCCACCTTCCAGGGACAAAGTTCAGTCCTCGAGCTTGTATGACAATTGCCTTTACCCACTGAGCATTCCTGTTTTGTTTTTCCTTGGATTTTTGAGACAGAGTTTCTCTGTGCAGCTCCAGCTGTCCTGGTATTTGGCTCTTTAGACCAGTTTGGCCTAAAACTCACATCTGCCTGTCTCTGCTTCCCAAGTGCTGGGACTAAAGGCATGCACCACCACCACCAGGCCATATTTTTTTTTAACAATAGAAAAATACATTTGACATCAGTTTAACATTTTAAGGCTGGAGATATATAGCACAATTGCTAGAACACTTGGCTAACATGCACAGCACCCAAGTTTCAGTCCCTAGCACTACATAAAACCAGGTGTGTGGTACAGATATCCCACCTCTTGGAAAGTAGAGGCAAGAAGATCACAAGTTTATTGTCCTCATTGGCTATATATTAGGTTACATGAGTTGGCTATATATTAGGTTACATGATCCTGCTTTTTAAAATAAAACAAAAAACAGTTTAGCATTGTTAAGTAGTATTCAGTATATATACAGCACTGCACTCAGGACCACTAGGGCTGCAACGATGGTTCAGTACTTAAGAACACTTTCTGTACAATCATGGGGACCAGAGTTTGGATCCCAGTACTCACATTAAGAAGACAACTTCTTAAGTTCCCAGTACTCACATTAAGATCCCAGTACTCACATTAAGAAGACAACTGACAAGCTAGAGAGCTTGTCAAGAGCACTGACTGCTCGTCCAGAGGTCCTGAGTTTAATTCCCAACAACCATTTGTAATAGGATCCTATGCCCTCTTCTGGTGGGTCTGGTGTGTCTGGTGTGTCTGAAGACAGCAACAGTGTGCTCCTACACACACACACACACACATGTGTATATATATGAATGAATGACAACTGACCTTCACACATCATCCCAGCTCCAAGAGAAGCAGACAGGATCACTGTGCCTTGCTGGCTTTTCAGCCTAGCTTAGAAAAACTCAAGCCTCAAGTTTAGGGAGAGACATTGCTTTGAAGAGTTAAGCAGAAAATGATTGCGAAGGATGCCTGACACACACTGACATACCCACACACGCACACAGGTGCACATACAGTCATACAAATAAAGTGCATGCTGACAGGAGCCTGATATAGCTGTCTCCTTAGAGGTCTGCCAGAGTCTGACATATAACAACTAACCATTAAACTGATCACGGGGTTCCCAATGGAGGAGTTAGAGAGAAGACTGAAGGAGCTGAAAGGGTTTGTGGCCCCATGGGAAGGACAACAATACCAACCAACCAGAGGTCCCAGGGTCTAAACCACCAGCCTGGGAGCACATAGAGAGGGATCCATGGCTCCAGCTATATATGTAGGGGAGGATGGCCTTGGTCCCATGAAGGCTGGATGCCTAGTGTGGGGGAATTCAAGGGTGGGGGTGGGTGGGTGGGGGCACATCCTCATAGAAGCAGGAGAAGGGGGGATGGGATGGGGGTTCCTGGGTGGGGGAAGGGGGGTAATGGGATAAGGAGATAACCATCTGAAATGTAAATAAAATATCCAATTAAAAAAAGACACATACAAATAAATAATAAAATCTTTTTACTTGTTTGTCACAGAGTCTCACTATGTAGTCCTGGCTGTCCTGGAACTCATTATCTAGACCAGGCTGGCCTTGAGCTCAGAGATAGGCCTGCCTCTGCCTCTTCAATGCTAGAACTAAAGGTGTGCTGTGAAAAACAGCAAAAAGTGTGTGTGTGTGGTGGGGGTGCTTTTCTTCATTGTTATAATTTGTGCCCTGTGCAATGACCATGGTCAGTCAGGTTCCAATGCTTTCAAATGCTCTCTACTGCCTAGACTTCAATTTGTTTGCTTTTTGCCTCATAAGGAAGTGGTTACCAGGAGATGGTCATATTTGGCAGCTACAGGACAAGGTGTGAAGAACCAGGACAAGATGGAGAACTGGAAACTGTCAAGAGTGCCTAAACCCTGATTCAGAAGAGGAACTGAATAGTGAGGCTTGTAGCTCAGTCCAGTGCTTGCCCAGCATGCACAAAGTGCAAATCTCAATCCCCAGCATAGCAGAAACTGGACACGGTGCCCATATCTATGATCTAGCCCTTGGGAGGTTCAGGCAGGAGGATCAGAGGTGCAAGGTCATCCTCAGCTACTTGTGGAGTTGGAGGCAGCCTGGGATACATGAGATACTGTTTCAAAAACCAAAATAGCAAGGCAAGATGGTGCAAGTCTTTAATCCCAGTATTGTGAAGGCAGAGGCAGGAAGAACTCTGAGTTCCAGATCAGCAAGCTCCAGGTTAGCCAGGGCTACATAATGAGACCATGTTTAGAAAAAAAAAAAGTTGCTAACATAGAATTATAATCACGCATTACTTGTGTATATATTTTGATAGTGCTGGGAATCAAACCCTGGGCTTTGTCCGCAGTAAGCAAACATTCTACCACTAAAGTACCCTCCTTTCCTGTCCACTATGTAAGAATAAACCACCTTATGCTTATTCATTTAATATCAAACATCTATTGCAACTATGTTGCAGAGGACCCGGGTTCGATCCCCAGAACCATCTTGCTTTCATGAATAATATTACTATGTACATTCATGTATAAGTAAATGTTGGAGGGTTGTTTTTTTTTTTAATTGTTTGGGGATACATAACTAGACTGCTATGTCACATAAGTAGCTATTTTGATTTCTTAAGGAAGCCATGAACTTTCTCCTAGCAGCTGTGCCATGTTACATTCCTACTTGAGGGCACTGATGTAGAGGTGACCTTCATTCACATTGTATTAAGGTGTGTCTCCATATATTCCATAGTTATTGCTGATGGCAGTGAGATAAATGCTTACAGATTCTGGTGTTGTAATCACTATGACCCATCACCAGCCTCCTGTTTTGTACATTCTAAAAATAAGGTCACACTGTCTTCTATCCCTAGACTGTTAAAGAGTTGTATCAGATGTATCACACTGCTGATTGGTTGTTATAAAGAGCTAACGGCCAATAGCTAGGGCTGAATGGACCTAGGGTTGAAGAGGGAAAAGGAAGTCAGGGAAGAAAAAAATAGAAGGGTCTTTTTACGAGAACACTTGGGAGGAGAGAAATGTGACTGTGAGCTGGAAGCGGATGAGCTCACTAGGCT